GGACTAGTTAACTAAATTATGGGTTTTGATATCATGGACATGGAATGCTCCACAGGCATTTAAAAAAAAAAAAAAAGATGACAAAAGTTCTGAGTCACCATTTGGATTCTCCAGAACAGATCCTGAGAAATAATTTGGGGTGTGAGATTTTTATTGGGACTCACAGTTGTCAAAGAAAGAAGCAGAGCAGGCCGGGCACGGTGGCTCACGCCTGTAATCCCAGCACTTTGGGAGGCTGAGGCGAGTGGATCATGAGGTCAGGAGTTTGACACCAGTCTGGCCAATGTGGTGAAAACCCGTCTCTACTAAAAATACAAAAATTAGCTGGGCATGGTGACGGGCGCCTGCAGTCCCAGCTACTCTGGAGGCTGAGGCAGAAAAATCGCTTGAACCTGGGAGGTGGAGGTTGCAGTGAGCTGAGATAGCACCACGGCACTCCAGCCTGAGCAACAGAGTGAGACGCTATCTCAAAAAAAAAAAAAAAAAAAAGAAGCAGCAGCAGCAGGGCTGGGTTTGGTGGCTCACGCCTGTAATCCCAGCGCTTTGGGAAGCAGAGGCAGGTGGATAGCTTGAGCCTAGAGTTTGAGATCAGCCTGGGCAACATACGGAGCCCCAATCTCTTCAAAATAAAAGAAAGAGAGAGAGAGAAGAAAGGAAAGGAGGGAGGGAAGGAAGGAGGGAGGGAGGGAAGGAAGGTAGCGAGGGAGGGAGGGAGTGAGACAGGGAGGGAGGCCAGACAGGACTGGGCAAAGGGAGAAGTTAAAGTGGTGTTGAGCATGGACAAAGCCTTGGCTAATCAGCGAGGGACTCTAGAGCCAGTGTGCCTCATCAGAGCATCCCACGTGAAGTCAGAATACCCAGACCTTTATTCTTCTGCCTTGCCCAGTCACTGGCTGTGGGCTGCCCTGGGACAGATGGGGCTTTGAGGGAAGTGGCTCTCTGCACCTGAAGGTGACCCTAACCATGGAAGCCGGAGGTTTCTGCTCACAATACATCCCTTGGCTGGTCAGCAACTCCCTCCTTGAAAGGGGATCTGGGCCCGGGCGTGGTGGCTCATGCCTGTAATCCCAATACTTTGGGAAACTGAGGTGGAACAAACACTTGACCCCAGGAGTTCAAGACCAGCTCAGGCAACATAGCAAGACCTCGTTTCTACCAAAAATACAAAAAGTAGCCCACTGTGGTGGCGCATGCCTGTGGTCCCAGCTACTCCGGAGGCTAAGGCAGGAGGATCGCTTGAGCCCAGGAGGTTGAGGCTGCAATGAGCCATGATTGCACTACCGCACTCCAGCCTAGGCGACAAAGTAAGACCCTGCCCTGTGTCAAAAGAAAAAGGAAAGAAGGGAAAGGAAGGAGAGGGGAGGGAAAGGGAGGGGAGGAGAGGGGCGGGGAGGGAAGGGGCCAGGCAGTGGCTCACGCCCATATTCCCAGCATTTTGGGAAGCCGAGGCGGGTGGATCACAAGGTCAAGAGATCGAGATCATCTTGGCCAACATGGTGAAATCTTGTCTCTACTAAACATACAAAAATTAGCTGGGCATGGTGGCACACGCCTGTAATCCCAGGTACTTGGGAGGCTGAGGCAGGAGAATCGCTTGAACTAGGGAGGCGGAGGTTGCACTGAGCCGAGATCGTGCCATTGCACTCCAGCCTGGGCGACAGAGCAAGACTCCGTCTCAAAACAAAGACATAAAATAAAATAAAAGAAGAGAAAAGGAAGAAGGAAGGAAGGAAGGAAGGAAGGAGAGAAAAAGGAAAACTCCGTGGAAGCAGGGATTGTTGTCTGTTTTTCCTTGCATTTGCTTGCTTTGTTTTATAGGAATAAAAACATCAGGAGCTAGGCCGGGCGCAGTGGCTCAAGCCTGTAATCCCAGCACTTTGGGAGGCCGAGACGGGCGGATCACAAGGTCAGGAGATCGAGACCATCCTGACTAACATGGTGTGAAACCCCGTCTCTACTAAAAAATACAAAAAACTAGCCGGGCGAGGTGGCGGGCGCCTGTAGTCCCAGCTACTCGGGAGGCTGAGGCAGGAGAATGGCGTGAACCCGGGAGGCAGAGCTTGCAGTGAGCTGAGATCCGACCACTGCACTCCAGCCTGGGCGACAGAGTGAGACTCCGTCTCAAAAAAAAAAAAAAAAAACAAAAAAACCTCAGGAGCTCTACCCCAATGCTGTGTACATAGTAAATGCTCAGTAAATATCAATGGAATAAATAAACAAATTTCCCAGCTCCTCTGCAGCCAGGTGTGGCCATGTGAATAGATCCTAGCCAGGCCGGGCGCGGTGGCTCACGCCTGTAATCCCAGCACTTTGGAAGGCCGAGGCGGGCGGATCACAAGGTCAGGAGATCGAGACCACGGTGAAACCCCGTCTCTACTAAAAATACAAAAAATTAGCCGGGCGCGGTTGTGGGCGCCTGTAGTCCCAGCTACTCGGGAGGCTGAGGCAGGAGAATGGCGTGAACCCGGGAGGCGGAGCTTGCAGTGAGCCGAGATCGCGCCACTGCACTCCAGCCTGGGCGACAGAGCGAGACTCCGTCTCAAAAAAAAAAAAAAAAAAAAAAAAAAAAAAAAAAAAGATCCTAGCCAATAGAAACTTTGTGTGACACAATCACCCTACCAACTCTGGATGCCAACCTCAACTGTGACTGGGAGAGAAAGACATGTCTATCTTATCTAAGTCTTTGGTATTTCTCTCCCTCACAGTCATATCTAACCATGTAATTAAACCAGTGAAGGCACTCCATAAATATGAGTTACGGGCCAGGCGTGGTGGCTCACGCCTGTAATCCCAGCACTTTGGGAGGCCGAGGCGGGCGGATCATGAGGTCAAGAGATCGAGATCATCCTGGCCAACACGGTGAAACCCTGTCTCTACTAAAAATACGAAAAATTAGCCGGGCATGATGGTGGGCACTTGTAGTTCCAGCTACTCGGGAGGCTGAGGCAGGAGAATTGCTTGAACCTGGGAGGCGGGGGTTGCAGTGAGCCGAGATTGCGCCATTGCACTCCAGCCTGGGCAAAAAGAACGAAACTCCATCTCAAAAATAATAATAAATAAATAAGAGTTATATTCCATACTATGGATGCTTGATAATTTGGTTTAAAATTTGGCCAGGCACAGTGGCTCATGCCTGTAATCCCAGCACTTTGAGAGGCCGAGGCAGGAGGATCGTTTGAGACCAGGAGTTTGAGTTCTGCCTGGACAACATAGCAAGACCCTGCCCTTACCCCCCAAAAAAAAATTAGCCGGGTGTATTGGCGTGCACCTGTGGTCCCAGCTACTCAAGAGGCTGATGCAGGAGGAACACTTGAGCCTGGGAGGTCAAGGCTGCAGTGAGCCATGATTGGGCTACTGCACTCCAGCCTGGGTGACAGAGTGAGATGCTGTCTCCAAAAATTAAATAATAAACTAATTTTAAAATTCAAGCCATTCAAGTCGTCCCCTCTTACGAGGCATTTATTTGCAATTCTTTGCTAATATGGGTATGATAGACTATCTCCAGAGACACTCGCCATCACTTTCCATCCTGTTATGCCCCTGCCACTCCTCCCCCGAGTCTATTTCATCTCCTCTTCCCCTTGAATTTGGGTTGGGCCATGTGACTTGCTCTGACCAATGGAATGCGGCGGAAGAGCTACCATGTGGCTTCCAAGCCGATCATTTAAGAAGACAAGTAGCAGCCGGGCACGGTGGCTCAAGCCTGTAATCCCAGCACTTTGGGAGGCCGAGACGGGCGGATCACGAGGTCAGGAGATCAAGACCATCCTGGCTAACACGGTGAAACCCCATCTCTACTAAAAAATACAAAAAAAAAAAAACTAGCCGGGCGAGGTGGCGGGCGCCTGTAGTCCCAGCTACTTGGGAGGCTGAGGCAGGAGAATGGCGTAAACCCGGGAGGTGGAGCTTGCAGTGAGCTGAGATCTGGCCACTGCACTCCAGCCTGGGCGACAGAGCCAGACTCCCTCTCAAAAAAAAAAAAAAAAAAAAAAAGAAGAAGACAAGTAGCTTTTGCTAACTCTCTCTGAAGTCGGTTGCCATATGGGGAACAAAGACCACCATACCCTGAGGGAGCCCAAGCAGCCACGTGGAGAGAGAGAGGACTCACTGGGGCTCCAGATATGTGAGTGGAGAATGTTCCTTGTGGATGTTCCAGTCCCAGGAAATCCTAGCTGAGCCCAGTCCAGATTCTCAAATTATGAGAAATGATAAACTGTGGTTGTTTCAAACTCCTAAGTTTAGGAGTGGTTTGTTACACAGCATTAACTAACTGAAACACAGGTGATGAACAACTCTGCCATAAGCAACTCTGTGGTCAAATCTTAGCGCACAGGTGCACACCTTTGATCATTTCCTAAAAACAAATGACTAGAAGTGGGTTCTGTGAATTTGAAATTTGGTGTCAACTTGATTCCCAGAGAAACTGTAGCAAAGTCCATGAGCCATTTATTGACGCATCCATTCATCCACAGCCTCTTCAGCACTGAGAGTTTCCTTTTCTTTTCCTAATTTTCCATTTCTATCATTTCAATAGGCCCATTTGCATTCATTCCAGAGAAGGTAACAGCGATGACAGCTTCTCTCTGATCATGGAGTGATAACCAAAAACCAGTAGGGCAGGTTGATTTGCAGCCAAGAGCCAAAATACTCATTCATTCAGAACTTACTGAGCAAGGTTTAGAGGAACAAAAACATTAAATATTTATGGAGTCCAGGTGTGCTAGCTCACGCCTGTAATCCCAGCACCAAGAGGCCAAGGCATGGGGATCATTTGAGGTCATGAGTTCAATATCAGCTTGGACAACAACATAAGAGAAATTCTGTCTCTACAAAAACAAAAACAAAAATTAGCTGGGCGTGCTGGCTTGCACCTGTAGTCTCAGCGACTTAGCAAGCTAAGGTGGGAGGATTGCTTGAACCCCGGAGGTCAAGGCTGCAGTGAGCCATGTTCACGCCACTGTACTCTAGTCTGAGTGACAAAGCAAGGGAGACAAACTCACCTTCAACTCCTTCCCTGTGTTGACATCCCAGCGCTTTGGGAGGCCGAGGTAAGAGGGTTGCTTGAGACCAGCCTGGACAGCATAGTGAGGCTCTGTCTCTACAAAATAAAAATCAATAAATAAAGTTGCTTTTTTTTTCCATCTATTTCAGATCACTATCCACTTTCATCTAAATCGTGGTTCTTGGCCAGGTACAGTGGCTCACACCTGTAATCCCAGCACTTTGGGAGGCAGAGGCAGGTGGATCACCTGAGGTCAGGACTTCGAGACCAGCCTGACCAACATGGTGAAACCCCGTCTCTACTAAAAACACAAAATTAGCTGGGCGTGGTGGCATGTGCATCTATTCTCAGCTACTTGGGAGGCTGAGGCAGGAGAATCACTTGAACCGGCAAGGGGGAGGCTGCAGTGAGCTCAGATCATACCATTGCACAACGGCCTGGGCAACAAGAGTGAAACCCCGTCTCATAAAATAAAATAAAATGAAATAAAATAAAATAAATCATGGTTCTCAGGCCAGCTGTGATAGCTCACACCTGTAATCTCAGCACTTTGGGAGGCTGAGGCAGGTGGATCACCTGAGGTCAGGAGTTTGAGAACAGCCTGTCCAACACGGTGAAACCCCATCTCTAATAAAAATACAAAAATTAGCCAGGCACGGTGGTGCGTGCCTGTAGTCCCAACTGCTTGGGAGTGTCAGGCAGGAGAATCGCTTGAACCCGAGAGATGGAGGTTGCAGTGAGCCAAGATCACACCACTGCACCCTAGCCTGGATGACAGAGCGAGAAACCGTCTCAAAAAAAATAAATAAGTAAATAAATAAATAAATAGTGATTCTCAGATGGGAGCGACTCTGCCCCCTGGGGGATACTTGGCAAATGTCTGAGACACTTTTTATTGTTAGAGGAGCATTTTTTTTAATTGATGGGGGTAGGGGTGGGGTGCTCCTGCTATCCAGTGGGTGAAGGCCAGGGATGCTGCTCAGCACCCTACAGTGGCCTGGGTGGCCTTTTGTCCTCTCAAAGTATTCTCCAACTCAGATTTTCAATCGTGCCAAGGTTGAAAAACCCTACTTTAAGTGAAATGCAATAGAATAGGATCAAATAGAATAGAAAATATCAAAGGACATTGCTCAAATAATAAGTTTCATTTCATAAGACTTTTGTATTTTTGTATACTCAGACACTATATTAGATACGTTTCTCCTTGTGAGCCCGAATCAAAAAGCTTTAATTGACTGAGTGCAGCAGCACACGCCTGTAATCCTAGCACTTTGGGAGGCCGAGGCAGGAGGATTGCTTGAGCTCAGGAATTTGAGACCAGCCTGAGCAACATATTGATACCTTGTCTCTGCAAAAAAAAAAAAAAAAAAAAAAACTTTAAAAACATTAGCAGGCCCTGTTGGCGTGTGCCTGTGGTCCCAGCTACTTGGTAGGCTGAGGTCGGGAGGATTTACCTGAGTCCAGAAGTTTGAGGCAGCCGTGAGCTATGCACCAGAGCCAAACAAGATAGCAGAATGTTCTGCAAATAGAAAAAGAAACAAATGAATTAATGCAATTGTTTATGATGGCAGTCACATCAAAATGAAAATTAAACAAGGCAAATGTTCTAGAGTGCCTGGGATATTAGCAAAGGTGTTCAGGGAAGGCTTCTCTCGGGGATGACATTTGAACTGAGATTTTTTTCTTTTTTTTTTTTTTGAGATGTAGTCTCACTTTGTCGCCCAGGCTGGAGTGCAATGGCGTAATCTTGGCTCACTGCAACTTCTGCCTCCCGGGATCAAGCGATATTCCTGCCTCGGTCTCCCAAGTAGCTGGGACTACAGGCACGGGCCACCATGCCTGGCTAATTTTTGTGTTTTTAGTAGAGACAGAGTTTCACCCTGTTGGTCAGGTTGGTCTCGAACTCCTGACCTCAGGTTATCTGCCTGCCTTGGCCTCCCAAAGTGCTGGGATTACAGCCATGAGCCACTGTGCCCGGCTTTGAGTTGAGATTTACATGTTGGAAGAAGCCGGGACTCCAAGCAGAGTAAAGCAAAGGCTTTGTGGCTGGACTGAGCTTGGTGTGTTTGGGGCATGAAAAGCGGACCAGGGTAGGGAAGGAGATATGGGGAGTCGGCAGGGGGGATGGGAAACCGTGGTTCAATTCAGCTTTCTCAGCTGAGCTCAGTGGCTCACACCCGTGATCCGAGGACTTTGGGAGGCCGAGGCGGGGGGATCACTTGAGGTCAGGAGTTGCAGACCAGTCTGGCCAACATGGTCAAACCCTGTCTCTACTAAAAACACAAAAGTTAGCTGGGCGTGATGGTGGGTGCTACTCGGGAGGCCAAGGCCTGAGAATCGCTTGAACTCGAGAGGCGGAGGCTGCAGTGAGCCAAGATCGTGAGCGAGAGACCCCCGTCTTAAAAAAAAAAAAAAAAAAAAAAAAAAATTGGCTTTCTCGGGGATCTCTTAGAGTGAAGAATGAAGAAGAGACAGTGTGTCACAGTGACATGGGCGAAACTGGAGTACCTGTTAGGGAGCTATTAACAATGAAGAACGTGAAAAGCAGTTGCAATGCAGAGAAATGAAGCTGATTAAACAAAGGGAGACAGGGAGGGCATCTAAGAGGACCTCGCCACCCCACGTCAGAGGTTGAGCAGACAGGGGGTGCAGGGCAGCGTCCGGAGGAGTGGAGGAGTGGCTGCAGGGATGATGGCAGCTGCTGTCCTGGCCCTTCTCCGCAGGGCGGGGGCAGGAGCTGGGGCCCTGGGGGAACCGGCCCGGCAGGGCCACCCACCTGACTCACAGTAGAAACTGGGACAGCGGCTGTAATCCCAGCTACTTGGGAGGGTGAGTCAGGAGAATCACTTGAACCCAGGAGGCAGAGGATGCAGCAAGCCGAGATCACGCCACTGCACTCCAGCCTGGGCATTAAGAGCAAAAGTCCATCTCAAAAACAAAACAAAACAAAACAAACAAACAAACAAACGAATCACAGCAGACTCCTGAAGTGGATTTTGATGTATAAGAAGGAGTTTACCAAGCAGTAAGTGGTAGACTCTTTTTTTTTTTTTTTTTTTTTTTTTTTGGTGACAGAGCAAGACCCTGACTCAAAACAGAAAAAGAGTCTACCGGCCGGGTGCAGTGGCTCACGCCTGTAATCCCAGCACTTTGGGAGGCAGAGGCAGGTAGATCCTGAGGTCAAGAGATCGAGATCATCCTGGCCAACATGGTGAAATCCCATCTCCACTAAAAATACAAATATGAGCTGGGCAGGCCGGGTGCGGTGGCTCACGCCTGTAATCCCAGCACTTTGGGAGGCCGAGGCGGGCGGATCACGAGGTCAGGAGATTGAGACCATCCTGGCTAACACAGTGAAACCCTGTCTCTACTAAAAATACAAAAAATTAGCCGGGCGTGGTGGCGGGCGCCTGTAGTCCCAGTTACTTGGGAGGGCTGAGGCAGGAGAATGGTGTGAATCCGGGAGTCGGAGCTAGGAATGAGCCGAGATTGTACCATTGCACTCCAGCCTGGACAAGACTCCGTCTCAAAAAAAAAAAAAAGAGTCTACCACTTACTGCTTGGTAAACTCCTTCTTATACATCAAAATCCACTTCAGGAGTCTGCTGTGATTCTTTTTTGTTTGTTTGTTTGTTTGTTTTGTTTTGTTTTTGAGACGGAGTTTTGCTCTTATTCCCCAGGCTGGAGTGCAGTGGCGTGATCTCGGCTCGCTGCATCCTCTGCCCCCTGGGTTCAAGTGATTCTCCTGACTCACCCTCCCAAGTAGCTGGGATTACAGGCATGCGCCACCACGTCCAGATTATTTTGTATTTTTAATAGAGATGGAGTTTCACTGTGTTGGTCAGGCTGGTCTCGAACTCCTGTCCTTAGGTGATCCACCCGCCTTGGGACCCCAAAGTGCTGGGATTACAGGCGTGAGCCATTACAACATCTTGCCTGAACCTGCTGTGATTGGAAGGACTGCCCGGGGGAAAAAAAAAAAAAACCCACTTCAAATAGACCCCCATGTGGGAGGACTTGAGACTTCCATGGTCCCTGATCTAAGACATCAATAAATAATTCAGACTCGGTACTTTTTACACATTTTTGGACCCTTTCTGAGGACCTTCTGCACAAACCTAGGAGGTAGGTTATCATTATCCCCACTCTGCAGATGCCTCCAAAGCCCTCTGCCTTTTACCTATCTTCTTTATCACCTCTTCATCTCTTGGTTCAATGTGTATTTAATGAGCACCTACTGTGTGTCAGGCACCATTCTAGACTTTGGGGATGAAGTAGTGACACTGGCTTTCTCGGGGATCTCTTAGAGTGAAGAGTGAAGAAGAGACAGTGTGTCACAGTGACATGGGCGAAACTGGAGTACCCGTTAGGGAGCTGTTAACAATGAAGAACGTGAAAAGCAGTTGCCATGTGGAGAAATGAAGCTGATTAAACAAAGGGAGACAGGGAGGGCATCTAAGAGGACCCCGCCACCCCACATCAGAGGCTGGGCAGGCAGGAGGTGCAGGGCAGCGTCCGGAGGAGTGGAGGAGTGAAGTCGTGACACTATCTTAGATAGTGACATTGAACTGAATGATGCAAAAAAATCTGCCTTGAGAAGGTGTGGCAAAAAACCAGAAGTCCCAACATTACCAGGAATCTTCCTACTTCCACCCTTTTGCCCATTCTTTTTCCTCTGCTGGAAATGCCTTTCCCCAGCTAACAAACTCCTACTTATCCTTCAAAGCCCAATTCCAATACCCGCTTCTCCTAGGAAAGCTTTCCAGTCTGATCTCCAGGCAGAATCCGCAACACCCTTCTCTGGGCTCCCACAGACTGGGGTCCCTCGCTCTACTCCACAGGTGGCCAAAAAATGAATGAGGAGGTCGGCCACAGCAGGCTGGAAGCTCTTCAAGGCCAAGATCCAGGCTAAGTCCTCTCTGGGACCCCTTTTCCAAGATGAGCTGTGGGAACACTGCAGCTGTTTTTTTTTTTCTTCTTTTTTTTTTGAGACAGAGTCTCGCTCTGCCGCCCAGGCTGGAGTGCAGGGGCACGATCTCGGCTCACTGCAAGCTCCACCTCCGGGGTTCACACCATTCTCCTGCCTCCGCCTCCTGAGTAGCTGGGACTACAGGTGCCCATCACCTTGCCTGGATAATTTTTTGTATTTTTAGTAGAGACAGGGTTTCACCGGGTTAGCCAGGATGGTTTTGATCTCATGACCTCGTGATCCTCCCGCCTCGGCCTCCCCAAGTGCTAGGATTACAGGCGTGAGCCACCGTGCCCAACCCTGCAGCTATTTTTAAAATAAGGAATAAGTGGGGTGTGGTGGCTTACGCCTGTAGTCCCAGCACTTTGGGAGGCCAAGGTGGGAGGATCACTTGAGGCCAGGAGTTTGAGACCAGCCTGGGTGACATAGTAACACGCCATCTCTAATATATATATATTTGCCAGATGTGGTAGTGCACAGCTGTAGTCCCAGCTACTCTGGAGAGCAAGGTGGGAGGGAGGGTCACTTGGGCCCAGAAATTTGAGGCTGCATTGAGCTAGGATGGCGCCACTGCACTCCAGCCTGGGCCACAGAGTGAGACTCTCTCTCAAAAAAAATAAAAATAAATAAAATAAAGCAGAAACAGTAGAAAACGAGGCCAGGCGCAGTGGCTCATGCCTGTAACCCCAGCACTTTGGGAGGCCAAGGTGGGAGGATCACAAGCTCAGGAGTTCAAGACCAGCCTGGCCAACATGGTGAAACCCCGTCTCTACTAAAAATACAAAAATTAGCCGGGTGTGGTGGTGTGTGCCTATAATCCCAGCTATTGGGGCAGCTGAGCCAGGAGAATGGCTTGAATCCAGCAGGCAGAGGTTGCAGTGAGCCAAGATCGTGCCACCGCACTCCAGCCCGGGTGACAGAGCAAGACTTCGTCTCAAAAAAAGAGAAAAAAGAAAACGAAGACGAATTCGTCGGTAAGGGGACTCGAACTGTAGACTCTAAAGCTTCTCCAGCCCCGCCCACTCTATTTACTTCACTGGCTCCTCCCTTTCAGGTTCCGATCCTAGCCCCGCCCCACCCTTAACGGCGCCCGCCCACACTCCCGGAAGTGGGCGGCCTAGCGAGCGCGCTCCTAGGCGCAAAGCACGCCGGAAGTTGTAGTTCCGCCATCGGACGGAAGCCGACCGGGGCGTGTGGAGGGATGTGGCCCGCAATATTAGTGGGGGGGGCCCGGGTGGCGGCATGCAGGTACCCCGCGCTGGGGCCTCGCCTCGCCGCTCACTTTCCAGCGCAGCGGACGCCGCAGCGGACACCCCAAAACGGCCTGGCCCTGCAGCGGAGCCTGCACGCGACGGCGGCCCGGGCTCTCCCGCTCATTCCCATCGTGGTGGAGCAGACGGTACGGCGGCCGGGCGGGGACACGGCCCGGGGGCTCCGGGCTGGGTGAGGATCGGGGGGCTGCCCGCGACCCCTCACCTACATCTTTCTACCCTCAGGGTCGCGGCGAGCGCGCCTATGACATCTACTCGCGGCTGCTGCGGGAGCGCATCGTGTGCGTCATGGGCCCGGTGAGCGCGCCGGGACCCTCCCCAGGACTCTCCCAAGCGCCTGCCCAGACCCCCTGCGCCCCTCCTTCCCTGGCCCCCGACTTTCTTTCCCCAGGCTCCGCTCCCCTTCCAACCCCCTTCCCTCTCCTTCTGACTCCCCTCTTGGCTCCCGGTCTCCCCACCCGCTCCTCACCTCTTCCCCTCTGCTCCTCGCCTCTTGAGCTCCCACTGCCTTCCTGACACCTGGCACCGCTCTCCTCAATCCTAGGCGCAAGACTCTTCGCAGGTGTTCTGACCCTTTCCTTTCCTGTGTCCTGAGCCCCGCCTGGGTCCTAGCCACTACTCTCTCCCCATCCGCTTCTGGGTCCTAAATTCTTCCCCACCCCTTTTATTTGGGCCCTGGTCCCCCTTCCTGGTTCTCTGACCCATCCCCAGCAGCCTTAAAACTCTCTCCCCACCCCGAATCTGGGAACACCCCTGCCCTCTCCACCTGCAGATCGATGACAGCGTTGCCAGCCTTGTTATCGCACAGCTTCTCTTCCTGCAGTCCGAGAGCAACAAGAAGCCCATCCACATGTACATCAACAGCCCTGGTGAGCAAGCAGGGGCTTTCCTAGGTGCCAGGGGCGCTTGTCAGGGCGCACGGGTGACTCAGGGGACCAGAATCCCGGGTCAGGGATGTTCTCTCTCTGGGAAAGGGTGCAGAGCGTCAGAGTTCCAGAAGTGGCTTGAAACCGCCAAAAGGTGCCTGTTGCTGGCTTTTGAGCCTCGGTTCACAAGTCAGGATGTGGCCTCTTTGATCCTGCACATACTGTTCTGCCAACCTGACCCGGCTAACATTTAAAAATTGTAGATTTAAAAAAAAAAAAGGCCGGGAGCGGTGGCTCAAGCCTGTAATCCCAGCACTTTGGGAGGCCGAGACCGGCGGATCACGAGGTCAGGAGATCGAGACCATCCTGGCTAACACGGTGAAACCCCGTCTCTACTAAAAAATACAAAAAACTAGCCGGGTATGGTGGCGGGTGCCTGTAGTCCCAGCTACTTGGGAGGCTGAGGCAGGAGAATGGCGTGAACCCGGGAGGCGGAGCTTGCAGTGAGCTGAGATCCGGCCACTGCACTCCAGCCCGGGCGGCAGAGCGAGACTCCGTCTCAAAAAAAGGCCGGGCGCGGTGGCTCAAGCCTGTAATCCCAGCACTTTGGGAGGCCGAGACGGGCGGATCACGAGGTCAGGAGATCAAGATCATCTTGGCTAACACGGTGAAACCCCGTCTCTACTAAAAAATACAAAAACTAGCCGGGCGAGGTGGCTGGCGCCTGTAGTCCCAGCTACTCGGGAGGCTGAGGCAGGAGAATGGCGGGAACCCGGGAGGCAGAGCTTGCAGTGAGCCGAGATCCGGCCACTGCACTCCAACCTTGGCGACATAGCGAGACTCTGTCTCAAAAAAAAAAAAAAAAAATGTAGATTTTAGCCCGGGCACGATAGCTCTCACCCGTAATCCCAACACTTTGGGAGGCTGAGGTGGGCGAATTGCTTGAGCTCAGGAGTTCAAGACGAGCCTGAGTAACATAGTGAGACCCCATCTCTACAAAAAAAGTACAAAGATGTGGCGCATGCCTGTAGTCCCAGCAGCTCGGGAGGCTGAGTGAGAAGGATCACTTGAGCCCAGGAGGTCGGGGGCTGTAGTGAGCCCGTCTCAAATATAATAATAATAATTGGTAGATTTTTCCCCTCCCCCAAAAAAGTGGTCAGTTTGGATTGACCACTTACAATTGAGGCTTTTTTTTTTTTTTTTTTTTGAGATGGAGTCTCGCTCTGTCACCGAGGCTGGAGTGCAGTGTCGCAGTCTCAGCTCACTGCAACCTCTGCCTCCTGGGTTCAAGCGATTCTCCAGCTTCAGCCTCCCAAGTAGCTGGGAATTACAGGCATGTGTCACCATGCCCATCAAATTTTTTGTATTTAGTAGAGATGAGGTTTCACCATGTTGGTCAGGCTGGTCTCGAACTCCTGAGCTCAAGTGATCCACCCACCTCAGCCTCCCAAAGTGCTGGGATTACAGGCATGAGCCACTACGCCTGGCCTGGTTTCTAGTTTCTCTTGGAAATTTAGTAGATCTGGTCCCGTGGGTCCACTGGCACATGTGGCAAGAGTCAGTACACTGTAAAGCAAGCACTCTCCTTTTGCCTGCACCTGGCCGTGTCACCTGTTTTTGTCACCTGCCAACCCTGGAAGCATTTGTGTTGGTGAACCCTGCTTTAAAGAGCTGCTTCTAGGCCGGGTGCGGTGGCTCACGCTTGTAATTCCAGCACTTGGGAGGCCAAGAGGGCTGATCACTTGAGGTTAGGAGTTTGAGAGCAGCCTGGCCAACATGGTGAAATCCCATCTCTACTAAAATACAAAATTGGCCGGGCACAGTGGCTCACGCCTGTAATCCCAGCACTTTGGGAGGCCGAGGCAGGCAGATCACGAGGTCAGGAGATCAAGACCATCCTGGTTGACATGGTGAAACCCCGTCTCTACTAAAATACAAAAAAATTAGCCGGGCATGGTGGTGGGTGCCTGTAGTCCCGGCTACTTGGGAGGCTGAGGCAGGAGAATGGAATGAATCCGGGAGGCAGAGCTTGCAGTGAGCCGAGATCGCGCCACTGCACTCCAGCCTGGGCAACACAGCCAGACTCCGTCTCAAAAAGAAAAAAAAATTAGCCGAGCGTGGTGGCGTACTTGTAATCCAGCTACTCGGGAGGCTAAGGCGGGAGAATTGCATGAACCCGGGAGGCGGAGATTGCAGTGAGCCGAGATTGCACCACTGCACTCCAGCCTGGGTGACAGAGTGAGACCCTGTCTCGAAATATATATATATAGCTGCTTCTGGCTAGGCGTGGTGGCTCACATCTGTAATCCCAACACTTTGGGAGGATCGCTTGAGCCCAGGAGTTCGAGACCAGCCTAGGCAACATAGTGAAACCCAGTCTTAATTTTATTTTATTTTTTTTGAGACAAGAGTCTCACTCTGTCGCCCAGGCTGGAGTGCAGTGGCGCGATCTGGGCTCACTGCAAGCTCCGCCTCCCGGGTTCACGCCATTCTCCTGCCTCAGCCTCCGAGTAGCTGGGACTACAGGCACCCGCAACCACGCCCGGCTAATTTTTTGTATTTTTAGTAGAGACGGGGTTTCACCGTGTTAGCCCGGATGGTCTGGATCTCCCGACCTCGTGATCCACCTGCCTCAGCCTCCCAAAGTGCTGGGATTATAGGCAGGAGCCACCGTGCCCGGTGGTCTTAATTTTTAAAAAAGGAAGGGGGCTGCATCTGTTCCACTCTCCCCAGGGTTAGGAGATGAAATAGGAAAAGGGTTGGGGGAGCTGGTCCAGCCCCTCACTTGCTCCCCACTCACAGGTGGTGTGGTGACTGCGGGCTTGGCCATCTACGACACGATGCAGTACATCCTCAACCCTATTTGCACCTGGTGCGTGGGCCAGGCCGCCAGCATGGGCTCCCTGCTTCTCGCCGCCGGCAGCCCGGGCATGCGCCACTCGCTCCCCAACTCCCGTATCATGATCCACCAGCCCTCAGGAGGCGCCGGGTGAGTGCCAGACACACAAGCTGCTGTCAGGATTCAGGACAAGGTCTAGACAGAAGGACTGACTGGGCGGAAGTCAGGTGTGGGAGTGGATGTCTTAAAATGTGCAGGCTGGGCTGGGTGTGGTGGCTTAGGCCTGTAATCCTAGCACTTTGGGAGACAGAAGTGGGAGGATCATGTGAGCTCAGGAGTTCGAGGCCAGCCAGGGGAACATAATGAGACCTCGTCTCTATTTAAAAAAAAAAAAAAGAAGGCCCAGCATGGTGGCTCACGCCTGTAAATCTCAGCGTGATTTGGGAATCCAAAGCAGAAGCCAGAGCAGGTGGATCATTTGAGGTCAGGAGATTGAGACCAGCCTGGCCAACATGGTGAAATCCCGTCTCTACTAAAAATACAAAAATTAGCTGGGCGTGGTGGTGCGCACCTGTAATCCCAGCTAATTCGGGAGGCTGAGGCGGGAGAATCGCTTGAACCCAGGAGGTGGAAGTTGCAGTGAACGGAGATGGCACCACTGCACTCCAGCCTGGATGGCAGAGCAAGACTCTGTCTCAAAACAATAAAGAAAAGAAAAGAAAGTACACTCGGGAGTTGTTTGCTATCTGTTAAGAATTAGCTTCCGCCGGGCGCAGTGGCTCACATCTGTAATCCCAGCACTTTGGGAGGCCAAGGCAGGAGGATCACTTGAGGCCAAGAATTTAAGACCAGCCTGGGCAGTGGTGAGACCCCATCTCTACCAAAAATTTTCAAATGACTCAGGCGTGGTTATGCTTGCCTCTGGTCCCAGCTACTCAGGAGGCTGAGGTGGGAGGATTGAGCCTGAGAGGTCAGGGCTACGATGAGCTATCTTGCACCGCTGCAGTCCAGCCCTAGGAACAGAGCAAGACCCTGTCTCAAAAAAAAAAAAAAAAAGCAGGATTACAATTGGGCATGACGGCTCATGTCTTTAATCACAGCACTTTGGGAGGCCGAGATGGGAGGATCACTTGAGGCCAGGAGTTTGAGACCAGTCTGGGCAACCTAGCAAGACCTCATCTCTTAAAAAAAAAAAAAAAGGTTTAGCTAATGCAAGACAGAGAGACACTGTTCCTCCCAGTCTGCAAGGCTTCAGATGCAGAAAATAAGAAAACATACTTAATCCAGTCAGAAAGCTTTCCTGGTGGTGGGTGGCAAGATTGAAGCAGGATATCAGGGGATTTACACAACCCCAACCCACCAACCTCAAACCAAAAGCCCAAAGCCCAGGGAGGGCTCCTGAGTACCACCTCCGACCTCCCTGTGAGGGGCTGACACTGATGCCAACCTTTACCCCCTCGCTCCCCTTGGACGTCCCTCAGGGCCAAGCCACAGACATTGCCATCCAGGCAGAGGAGATCATGAAGCTGAAGAAGCAGCTCTATAACATCTATGCCAAGCACACCAAACAGAGCCTGCAGGTGATCGGTGAGCACCCTCCTTTATTTCATCCTGGTCCGTGCACAGGCGGACTAGGTGTTATTCTAAGCCAGGGCTTCTCCACCTGGGCCCTGTGGACTTTCAGGGCTGGATCATTCTCTGGGATGGGACCATCCCAGGCACTGCAGGATGTGTGGCAGCGTCCCTGGCCTCCAGCCACTCCACGCCAGTACCCTCCTCCAACTGTGACAACCAGAAATGTCTCCAGACATCACCAAGTGTTCCCTGGTGGGCAGAATTGCCTGCAGCCAAGAGACACTGTTCTAAGCCCTTTAAAAATATCCTTGGGCGTGGTGGCTCACGCCTGTAATCCCAGAACTTTAGGATGCCAAGGCAGGTGGATCACTTGAGGCCAAGAGTTCAACACCAGCCTGGGCAACATAGCGAAACCCCATCCGTACTACAAATATAAAAATTAGCTGACCATGGTGGTGGGGACCTGTAATCCCCACTGCTCTGGAGGCTGAGGCACGAGAATCACTCGAACCCGGGAGATGGAGGTTTCAGTGAGCTGAGTTCGCACCACTGCATTCCAGCCTGGGTGACGGAGCAAGACTGTCTCAAAAAATAAAAGAAAAAAATCAGCTTAGCCAGGTACGGTGGTACACATTTGTAATCCTAGCACTTTGGGAAGCCAAGGTAGGAGGATCACTTGAGCCCAGGAGTTCAAGTCCAGCCTGGGCAACATAGGGAGACCCCATTTCCGTAGAAAATTTAAAAATTGGGCACAGTGGCTCACGCCTGTAATCCCAGCACTTTGGGAGGCCGAGGCGGGTTGGATCACCTGAGATCAGGAGTTCTAGACCAGCCTGGCCAACATGGTGAAACCCCATCTCAACTAAAAGTATAAAAATTAGCCTGGTCTGGTGGCAGGCGCCTGTAATCCCAGCTACTCGGGGGGGCTGAGGTAGGAAAATTGCTTGAGCTCGGGAGGCGGAGGTTGCAGCGAGTCAAGATTGCCCCATCGCACCCCAGCCTGGGGGACAAGAGCGAGACTTCGTCTCAAAAAAAAAAAAAAAAAATTTTTTTAAATTAGCCAGGCATAGTGGCTCATGCCTTTAGTCCCCAGCTACTCAGGAGGCTGAGGCAGGAGGATCTGTGGAATATGAGAGTTTGAGGTTACAGTGAGCTAATTATTATTATTATTATTATTTTTTGAGACAAGGTGTGGCTCTGTCGCTCAGGCTGGAATGCAGTGGCATGATCTCGGCTCATTGCAACCTCTGCCACCTGGGCTCAAGCAATTCTCCTGACTCAGCCTCCTCAGTAACTGAGACTACAGGTATGCACCACCATGCCTGGCTAATTTTTTGTATTTTTTGTAAAGACGGGGTTTCACCATGTTGCCCAGGCTGGTCTCAAACTCGTGAGCTCAAGTGATCCAACTGCCTCAGCCTCCCAAAGTTCTGGGATTACAAGTGTGAGTCACCACGCCCAGCCATAATTTTATGAAAATCAAAAAATGAAGCCAGGTGCGGTGGCTCACACCTGCAATCCCAGCACTTTGGGAGGCTGAAGTGGGAGGATCACTTCAGTTCAGGAGTTCAAGACCAGCCTGGGCAATATAGTGAAACCCCATCTCATTAAAAAAATAGGCCGGGCACAGTGCCTCACGCCTGTAATCCCAGCACTTTGGGAGGCTGAGGCAGGCGGATCACCAGGTCAGGAGATTGAGACCATCCTGGCTAACATGGTGAAACCCCTTCTCTACTGAAAATACAAAAAATTAGCCGGGCGTGGTGGTGGGCACCTGTAGTCCGAGCTACTCGGGAGGCTGAGGCAGGAGAATGGTGTGAACCCGGGAGGCGGAGCTTGCAGTGAGCAGAGATCACGCCACTGCACTCCAACCTCGGCGAGAGAGCGAGACTCCGGAGTGTCTCAAAAAAAAAAAAAGAAAAAAAAAAAATTTTGCGGGGCGCCATGGCTCATGCCTGTAATATCAGCACTTTCGGAGGCCGAGGCGGGTGGATCATGAGGTCAGGAGTTCAAGACCAGCCTGACCAACATGGTGAAACCGTGTCTCTACTAAAAATACAAAAATTAGACGGGCATGGTGGCGCGCACCTGTAATCCCAACTACTCAGGAGGCTGAGGCATGAGAATCGCCTGAACCTGAGAGGCGGAGGTTGCAGTGAGCCGAGATCACACCACTGCACTGCAGCCTGGGCAACAGAGTAAGACCCTATCTCAAAAAAAAAAAACAAAAAATGTGAATGTACCACAGCATCATGTATGAATCTTGCAAATATAATGTTGCATGAAAGAAGAATAAACACTCTGTGATTCCATTTATTTAAACCATAAAAACAAGCAGAGCTAATTTATGCTGTTAGAGGAGTGGTTGCTTTGGGGCATGGGGAGGGGGTGGCAAGGATTTGTGACCATTGTGGGCCCAAGTAGGGTTTCAGGGGTGCTGGCAATGTTCCATCTCTTGGTCTGGGTGCTGGTCCTGTAGGGTATGTTCAGTCCAAAAATCCATCCCACCAGACATTTACGAATCATGTCCTTTCCTGGGTGTATATAATACATCAATAACAATTTTTTTTTTTTTTTTTTTTTTGAGATGGAGTCTCACTTTGTTACCCAGGCTGGAGGGTAGTGGTGCAGTCTCAGCTCACTGCAACCTCCACCTCCCGGGTTGAAGTGATTCTCGTACCTCAGCCTCCCTAGTAGCTGGGATTACAGGTGTTTGCCACCACACCTGGCTCATTTTTGTATTTTAAGTAGAGACAGAGTTTCACCATGTTGGCCATGCCTCCCAAAGTGCTGGGATTACAAGTGTGAGCTACCGTGCCTGGCCCAGAAACAATTTTTTAAAAAACAAAATTGAAATTGGTATTTTACTGCTACCTAGGGGAAACAGAGGCACTGCAGAATGAGGACATATCTCAGTCAGCTTGAGCTGCTTAACAAAACACCACAGACTTCCACAGAGATTTATTTCTTACAGTTCTGGGGGCTGAGAAGTCCAAGGTCAGGGTGCTGGCTGATGTGGTTCTCGGTGAGGGCTCTCTTCCTGGCTTGCAGACAGCCGCCTTCTCCCTGTGTCTTCACATGGTGGAGAGAGAGCAAGTGCACTCGTGTCTCCTCTTACAAGGCCACTAATCCCATCAGGGGGCCCTGACCCCATCTCTCCCTAAAGACCTCCCAAGGACCCCGTCTCCAAATCCCATCCCACTGGGGGTTGGAGCTTCAACATACGAACTTGGGGTGATGGGCACAAACATTCAGGCCAAAACACGAACCAGACCTGGCCCCGGGTCTCTGCTATTACCCTAATGTGTATCACCTCCTGCTTCCCCACCAGAGTCTGCCATGGAGAGGGACCGCTACATGAGCCCCATGGAGGCCCAGGAGTTCGGCATCTTAGACAAGGTTCTGGTCCACCCTCCCCAGGATGGTGAGGATGAGCCCACACTGGTGCAGAAGGAGCCTGTAGAAGCAGCGCCAGCAGCAGAACCTGTCCCAGCTAGCACCTGAGAGCTGGTCCTCCTCTCCAGAATCACATGAAGGGGCCAGAGGCCAGCCAAACCCCCAGCTGGGCCCTGTTCACCCCTTGCTGCTGGGCCCGGAGGGGCCCCTTGAGGAACTTTTAATTTGCAAGGGTGCCCCCTATGGATGGGGCATTCCAGCTGAGACACTGTGATTTTAAATTAAATCTTTGTGGTCTTTGCTCTGCGTCTGGGACACCCTCCCTCTCTGCACGACGACAGCGTGTACACATCTGTATTTCACAGGCCCCTTGTGTTTTTGTCCTGACCCCAAGAGGTAAGCCATGTTTCCCTTCAGCAGATTCTCCTGATCATATCCTATATTCTAGGCAGTGTTCTTTTGTGAAGAAGACACAAGCAACCATCCTCAAAAGAGCTCCATTCTTGTGGCAGTAGACAGTTATTTAAAAAAAAAAAACAAAAAAGGCCTGGCGGCTCATGCCTGTAATCCCAGCACTTTGGGAGGCCGAGGCGGGTGAATCACAAGGTCAGGAGATCAAGACCATCCTGGCTAACATGGTGAAACCCCGTCTCTACTAAAAATACAGAAATTAGCCAGGCATGGTGCACCTGTAATACCAGCTACTCCAGAGGCTGAGGCAGGAGAATTACTTGAACTTAGGAGGCGGAGGTTGCAGTGAGCAGGATCACGCCACTGCACTCCAGCCTGGGCAACAAAGCAAGACTCTGTCTCAAAAAAAACAAAAAACACAGGAAAGGTGGCATGCAAGTGTGAGGGTGAGTGTGTTACAGTTTTCTATGGGGTAATCAGGGAAGCCCTCACTGAGAAGGTGGTGTTTGAGCAAAGCCTCAAAGGAGGGGAGGGATGGAGCCTGTGTCCAGGCAGAGGACACAGCCAGTGCAAAGGCCCTGTGGCAGGACGGTACCTGGCATGTGAGAGGACCTACAAGGAGGCCCGTGGTTGAGGGAAGGTGGAAGAGATGAGATCAGAAAGTAGAGGTGAAAATTAGCCAGGCATGGTGGTGTGCTTGAACCCACGAGGCAGAGGTTGCAGTGAGCCAAGATCACACCACTACACTCCAGCCTGGGCAACAGAGTGAGATTCTGTCCAAAAAAAAAAAAAAAAGTGGAGGTGATTGAGGAGACTAGATCATAAAAGGCCTGACATCTAAAAGGAGGGAGGTGAACCATGGCGAGTTTTTAGAAGAGGAAGGAAAATAAGGATGACTGTGACTCCTGAGGAGTGCACCCTGGACGGAAACTGGAGAGCAGTTAGGAGAGCTGGAGTAATCCAGATGAAAGCTGATGGCAGGCCTGGCCGAGGGTGAGACAAAGTCAGATTCTAGCTAGGTGGGATGTGACAGAGAGCAGTTTCCAGAAACTCCGAGCTGATGGCCCAAAGCAGGAAGATGGAGACCTGTCACCTGAGATGGGAAGTGTAGGGAAAGGAACAGGCTTGGGGAGGGATCGGGACTTGATTTTGGATATATTATACCTGGTGTTTGTTATGTCCCTCGACATCAGGGTCAAGAGGTTGAAATAAAAATGTAGGCAGCATTAGCATGTAGGTTAATTACCAGTCAGACTGAGAGATGGCTATTGGATTCGGTGCTGTGGATGTCACTGGTGGCCTTAAATCAGGGCATTTCTGGTACTGTGGGAGCCAAAAGCCAGGCTGGAGTGGATCCAGAAAGAATAGGAGGAAATATCAGACATAGACAAGTCTTTCGAGGAATTACACTATCTCCTCGATAGTGTAATGATTACTACACTAAGCGGAGCAGGGAGTTGGGGGACGGATGTAGCCGGAGGGAGAAATGGGGTCAATAGTTTTCAAAATTCAAGCATTCAGGCCGGGCGCGGTGGCTCACGCCTGTAATCCCAGCACTTTGGGAGGCCGAGGCGGGCGGATCACAAGGTCAGGAGATCGAGACCACGGTGAAACCCCGTCTCTACTAAAAATACAAAAAATTAGCCGGGCGCGGTGGCGGGCGCCTGTAGTCCCAGCTACTCAGGAGGCTGAGGCAGGAGAATGGCGTAAACCCAGGAGGCGGAGCTTGCAGTGAGCCGAGATCGCGCCACTGCACTCCAGCCTGGGCGACAGAGCGAGACTCCGTCTCAAAAAAACAAAACAAAACAAAACAAAAACAAAAAACAAAATTCAAGCATTCGGGAGGGGGGCGGGCTATGCTTAGCAGTTACAGTGTTGCACTTTGCATTATGGACATTAAAAATACATAGAAAAGTACCCTGAGCTTTGAGAGGCTGAGGGAAGAGGATCTACCTGAACCCAAGTGTTCGAGGCTGCAGTGAGCTACGATCCTGCCCTTGCACTCCAGCCTGGGCAATAGAGGGAGAAAATAATAAAACATTTTATTATTATTCTGTAAAAAAATAATAAAAAAATATAGGCCGGGCATGGTGGCTCACTCCTGTAATCCCAGCACTTTGGGAGGCCAAGGCAGGCGGATCACCTGAGGTCAGGAGTTTGAGGCCAGCCTGGCCAATGTGAAACCCCATCTCTACTAAAAATACAAAAATTAGCCAGGCGTGGTGGCAGCTGCCCATAATCTCAGCTACATGGGACGCTAAGGCAGGGGAATAGCTTGAACCTGGAAGGCTGAGGTTGCAGTGAGCCAAGACCGCACCACTGCACTCCAGCCTGGGTGGCAAGAGGGAAATTTGGTCTGAAAAACAAAACAAAAAAAGCTGGGCATGGTGGTTTGGTGCCTGTAATCCCAGCTATTTGGGAGGCTGAGGCATGAGAATCACTTAAACCCAGGAGGCAGAGGTTGCAAATCTCCAGGGCCCAAGATCGTGCCACTGTGCTCCAGCCTGGGCAACAGAGTGAGACTGTCTCAAAAATAAATAAAAATAAATATAAACAAAAGTAGAGAAAACAGGGTAATGAGACCCCACGTACTTATCACACCAGTTCCACAATTAATTCACGGTCAAATGTGATTCTTCCCTACCCGACCCCATCCCTGCCTCCATAGCCTGGATTTATGTGGAAGCAAATCCCAGAGATCTTTTCATCTGTAAATTTTTTTTTTCAGTTTGCATTTGTAAAATACGAGGACTTTTTTTTCCTTTTTTTTTGATACAGAGTTTTGCTGTGTCACCCAGGCTGGAGTGCAGTGGTTGGATCTTGGTTCACTGCAACCTCCGCCTCCTGGGTTCAAGCAATTCTCCTGCCTCAGCCTCCTGAGTAGTTGGGATTACAGGCGCGCGCGCCACCACGCTCGGCTCATTTTTTGTATTTTTAATAGAGACGGGTTTTCACCATGTTGGCCAGGCTGGTCTCGAACTCCTGACCTCAGGTGATCCACCCACCTCGGCCTCCCAAAGTGCTGGGATTACAGGCATGAGCCACCACGCCCGGCCAAGGAATAAAAAAGACAACCATAATGCCATTTTCAAACCTAAAGCAAAGTAATACGGAGACAGGGAAATGAATGAAGAAGCCTTGCTTTGACCTTTGACCATAAGCCCTAACTCTGAATAGCTGGCCCCACCACACACCTAATCGTGGCCTTGACGTCAGTCCCCTAACCCCGGACCCTTATCTCGGCCTCACTGTACTCTGCCCTTAACCTCTAGCCCTAGTCGACTCTATAACTGTGGCCTTAGCCCCAGTCCCCGTGACCTCCGGACTTCAGACCAGATACTGCCCATATCCGCTTGTGAGGTCTTGGTCAAGCAACACCTGGGTTGTACGTTTTCTCTTTCATCATTAAAAAGGCGGTGCTAAGCTGCAGACGGACTTCTGACTCAGCCAATGGTGTAAGCCAGTCCGGAGGTGGCGTCCAATAAGCTCAAGAGAGGAGGCGGGTTCTGGAAGGAAGCCAATAGCTTGTGAAGGCGAGTCTAGCAGCAACCAATAGACATGAGGGAGAGGCAGGACTCCGAGGGAGGTCAATCGCTGGAGGCGTCTGGCGCAGCTACAGCCAATGATTTTTGGCGGAGGCGTTCCCCAACCCTGGCCTCTCCCATGACCCCGCTCCGGGGCTATGGCCGCGACTGGGCTGCTGGCGCTGCGGACGCTGCCAGGGCCCAGCTGGGTGCGAGGCTCGGGCCCTTCCGTGCTGAGCCGCCTGCGGGACGCGGCCGTGGTGCGGCCTGGCTTCCTGAGCACGGCCGAGGAGGAGACGCTGAACCGAGAACTGGAGCCCGAGCTGCGCCGCCGCCGCTACGAATACGATCACTGGGACGCGGTGAGACTGGCAGCGCGGGGGGCGAGGGGCGGGGACTCGTCGTGGGCGCGGCCTGGGGACGTGGAGCACCGGATGGGGCGAGAACACGCTGGGGGCGGTACCTAGAGCGGGGATTTGGAGCGGGGACAGAGGATACGAGCGCCGGGATGGGCCAGGGTTACACTGGGGGCGGTTACAGTGCAGTCTAGCGTTGGGGCGGGGCTACAGTGCTGGGTGGGGCGGGGCAGGGAGTCGGGCGCAGGGATGGGGCGGGGCCACTCTGGGGGCGGGGACAGGAGTCTAGCGTACGGACGGGGCGTGGCCACGCTGGGGGCGAGGACAGTGGGGACCTGTGCTGGGATGGGGCGTGGTCACGCTGGGGGGCGGTTACAGCTCAGTCGAGCGTGGGGGCGTGGCTAGGTGGGGGTGGGGCCAGGGAGTCGGGAGTGGGATTGGGGTGCGATTATACGCTGGCAGCAGTTACAGGGCGGTAGAGCGTGGCAGTTGGGATTGGGGCGTGGTCAGGTCGTCGTGCGCATGGATGGGGCGGGACCAAGCTTGGGGCGGGGTCCGAGGAGTCAAGAGCATAGATGGGTTGGGGCCGTGCTGGGGCTGGGGGCCGGGAAAGTCGTTTAGAGACGGCAGAACCAGGCTGTGAGCGGAGATAGTGGAGACACACATGCTGGGATGGGGCAGGGCCTTGTTGGGGTCCGTAGCTAGAGCAGGGATTTGGGAGCCGGGCTATGGTGGGAGCTGGGCTGAAACTCAGGCTGTAGGAGGGGTGGGACCTGGGGGATGAGGACATTGGGGTCAGGGAGAGCACTTTTGCGATCTGGGACCAAGGTTAGGATCAGAAGCGGATGTGGAACCAGATGATGAGAGACAGAGACACGACACTTGGGTGGGGTCAAGTTGTAGGGAGACTCAGCCAATTGAATATTGCTGCCGGGCCAGCACTGGGGACCTGAAATTGTAGCCTCAGGGTGAGTACTAAGGGCTGAGGTCACACCTAGGTAGGGCCATGGTTGGGGGGCTAGGGGAGTTTGAGTTGAGGGCAGGGTCGAGAGTCACATTAGGGAAACCAGCCCCTTGCCCTGTTTTCTGCCCCTCCATGCCTCCATTTGCTTGTTCCCTCTGGGAGCTCCCAGGCTTGACCAAGCTCTCCGTGCAGGCCATCCACGGCTTCCGAGAGACAGAGAAGTGGCGCTGGTCAGAAGCCAGCCGGGCCATCCTGCAGCGCGTGCAGGCGGCCGCCTTTGGCCCCGGCCAGACCCTGCTCTCCTCCGTGCACGTGCTGGACCTGGAAGCCCGCGGCTACATCAAGCCCCACGTGGACAGCATCAAGGTGGGCAGAGGCCTACGCCTTGGCACTCCCAGCCACGGGGTAGGCAGGCCAGACCAGAGCCTGACCCATCCCCACGCCCCTTTTGCAGTTCTGCGGGGCCACCATCGCCGGCCTGTCTCTCCTATCCCCCAGCGTTATGCGGCTGGTGCACACCCAGGACCCGGGGGAGTGGCTGGAACTCTTGCTGGAGCCGGGCTCCCTCTACATCCTTAGGTACCTCCAGCCAGGCAGCTGATTGTGCCATCCACCCCCCCAGTGCCCTGGGTACCTTCCCTCACTCCAGCCCTCCCCAAAGAAGCCCTTACCCCAGGGCTTGTGTGGGAGGCAGCAGGGGGCTGGAATCCAGGTCTGCCTGGAGCAGGGGCTGCCCTCCTTGCACCCAGTCACAGCCTGTTTCCTCCTGCAGGGGCTCAGCCCGTTATGACTTCTCCCACGAGATCCTTCGGGACGAAGAGTCCTTCTTTGGGGAGCGCCGGATTCCCCGGGGCCGGCGCATCTCCGTGATCTGCCGCTCCCTCCCTGAGGGCATGGGGCCAGGGGAGTCTGGACAGCCGCCCCCAGCCTGCTGACCGCCAGCTTTCTACAGACACTGGATTTGTGAATAAAGCTGGGGAATGGACAGCCTCACTGGAATATTGCAGTGGCTGCTTGCTGGGGCCGGGATCTGCAGGGGAACCCAGGACTGCACTGGCCCACAGGGAGCTCCAGGTGTGGCTGGCTGGACACACGGTCAAGGTCACAAGGCCGGGAGAGTGGTGTCCTTTATTGCATTCATTGCTGGTCACCCCAGCCCACTCCCCTCCTTGTTGTCTGTGCATCCAGGTCTCCAATAAATAAGTCAGCCGAGCTCCCCCAACACTGCAGCTCCTGGCTGCCAGGCCGGGCACTCTCAGCTGCCACAGCCGCAGGCAGCCGCCGAGAGCTGGGGCAGCCGCTGCCAGCGGTGGCGGTCGTCAAGAAAGGCCACGTCGGTGTAGCGAGTGGGCCAGCAGCAGGGCCCGCCGTGGGCTCGGCCCTGGCCCTGCAGCCGGGCCAGCGCCAGGCCGTGCTGGGTGCGGGCACCACGGGGGCAGCTGCCGGCGCAGTAGCGGAAGATGACCTTCTCCTCTGAGGCGTAGCCCAGGCCCAGCTCTGCCACCGATAGGGTCAGGCTCCACAGCTGGCATGGACCGGACGGGGCTCGGCGCAGGCGGGCGAGGGGGCGGTGGGTGCCTGTGGGAGAGAAGGGTGCTGACAGTGAGCAGGGTCAGGGCTGGGGGAAGTTGGGAAGTCACAGAGGGTCCCTGGGGCTTCTTACCCAGCCAGGTCCCTCCAGCCTTTGCCACCTGCTCAGACGAGAACTCTCCATCGGCCACCGG